CTGAAACATTGCCTAGGCTTTGTCTCTCATCTTCACATATGTTCAGATATCAAAAAAGCATTTTGCTTTATGTGCAGACATTCTCTTGGTGCTTCCATCTGGCATGCACAGTGGAGGGAAAGATTGAAGTTGAGAGCCAAGTTATAGTGTCATCACAACTTTAGCCGAATCAGGTCGATGGTTTTCTCTGACCTCTTTGAAGGGCTGATGTTACACGTCTCAACCAGGATTTGAGGCAGCCCCACCATTTAGGAAGGATCAAGAAAAAGAGAAGAGCTAGGCATGAAATGACTCCCATAAGAAAAGCCTCCCCTGGGTGGTAATTTTAGGACATTAGCTCAGGCTGCCTTGTCCTCAGTCATCTTGCTGGCATTTAAGTAGCCCCTTGGGTTACAGATCATGGCAGGTGCTGGGAAGTGAAGAAGGCCATGCTAAAAATACCAGCCTCTTCTGGACCGTGGCCGACAGACTGGATGGAGCTTCCTCCTTCAGTGGCAGGTCCCCAGAAAAGAAACAGAAAGTTTCCTTTGCCTYAAGTCATAAGAAAGCTCTGACTCCCTCCTGCACTGAAGTTACTAGGCGAAAACCCTAGAAGAAGCATTTACCCTGAGGAATTGATACCCTGAAGGGGAGACTAGGGTCCCAGTAGAAAGTGCTTAGGGAAAAGGTTTTACTGGTCACTAGAGAAAGAATCCTTACAAAAACAAAAAGCAAGTCCATTGCTTGCTTAATAACCTCATGCCGCTTACAGGCCTCCAAGCCAAATCATCTGTACTAAAAACTTAGCTGTTAGCAGTGGGTTTAACATGCATAGAAATAAAACTTTAGAAAAATAATTTTGAATTCATCTAATATGGCATCCCTCTAAAGCCTGAATTAGCTATAGTGAAACAAAAAATACAGCAAGAGGGCCCTCAGCCATCCCCTTCCACCTGAATGAGTTATAGTTAGCTGTCCAGTACAGCAAGATGCCCCTGGGGTTGTCTGCTCCTACCAGCATTTTGGGGTCAGGTTTCATGGTTTGCTGAATAAGAGTGGAGCTCTGCTTACCATTCAGGAGTCTGCAAAGGTCACTTCCACATGTGTTCCTGTTAAGGACATCCATAGAAACTTGAGAACTGAATAKAAAAACTTAAAAATGAACAGGTGGCATTCAATATAAAAAGAATGTGAAGTTTGCTGGGATGTAATGATTAAAACCATCTCAAACCTCAGATGTGGCCCCTTAGGCTGGCTACAGTCTCTGGACTGCAAGATCTATAGGCCCTTTTATTGCTGTGCAAGCTGGGCTTGAGGACGCAAGAGATGCTGTCCTGACCATAGGTCTTGTCTTCTTTTTTCCCTCAAATATACTACCTAAATTAACTGTAGTTCATTCCATTGCCCACCTAAGGATTTTGAAGGAAGCAGGTATAGATTTCTAATGATTGCCTCAAATTCTCCCTTGAAGCTCCTGGGAATAAAATTAATACATCCAGCCTTCAATYCTCATGAAGATGTCTGAATTATCCTATCTTGAGCCATAAGCGTGACAATGGGAAAAGGTTTCATTTCTTTGCTAGGTTCTCCCATCAGCTGAAAGTGGGTAGRTGGGTTTAGAAGCTAGGGTGTGGTACTGAGCTGGCCCATGAAATTCAAGATGCCTGTTCAGCCTCAGCCTTATTAGATCATGTTTTCACTATGTTCTATATTTAGACAAGACCTCTGGTAGTCCCCTCTCTTCTTATCATGACCTTATGTTTATTTTAAACACAAAATAAAATGTGAATATAAAAACAGACTTGGAAATGAATGAGTGAAACRAGCATTGTTGTTGGGTACTGAAACATCTGCATTCTTGTCCCTGAACTGCCACCTCCCAGTTGGATAGTCTTAAACCAGTCACTACCTTTGGTTTTCTAATCTACAGTCTGGGAATTGCAGCACTGATACTGAAGTTGTTGAAAGTGGTTGTGAGGAGGTAATGAATTTGAAAGTTCTTTTTAAAATTTTGCATACATAAGAGACAATTTCTATTCCTTTTTTAAAAAAAATTTAGTTGTAGATGGACACAATACCTTTATTTTATTTATTTTTATGTGATGCTGAGGATTGAATCCAGTGCCTCACACAAACTAGGCAAGTGCTCTACCACCGAGCCACAACCCAGCCCCAATTTCTATTCTTGAGGTGGCTAAATTCCATTGCAAATTGAATTTGATTAACCCTACACAGAGATACTACTGTTGAGAGATAGAAGATAAGAGGAAATGCCTATGCTTGACTTACTTTTTTTTTTTWAATGTATTGGAAGAACCATTTTTCCCCATGCAACTCTCCAGGTAGCAAGCATTCTCAGCAGAATCAGAACAGTAGCAGGTGCCTTCTCAAGCCTAAGGGCYACATCTGAGCTTTGGGATGTTAGTGACCAGGAATGTCACTAACTATGAGGACAGGCATCCAAATGGCCTAAAGACTTTTCTCAGAGCTCCRAACCCCTCCAGGAAGCAGAGGCTATTTTCCATGGGTTGCTAATGGGGTAGAATCTCAACAAGGATGAAATAGAAATGATTTGAATTAGGGGACCTGCCATGCTAACCCACCAGTCTTAGGATCAGGGAATTTAAAAAGTTAGATTTGTGTAGCTCCATTTCTATACTTGAATACTACAGGCTCTGAAATAACTCTAGGTGAGAGGGGAAGAAAGGGAAGAGATGGAAAGAACAGAAATCAATGGCTTCAAACCACACAATAAGGTCTGGACAGCTGAACTTGGAATTCTAAGTTCTTTATTATATGGCCCTATCCTATCTTTCCAGTCTCATGTCCAAAAAACCTATCATCCAACCACCATCAAACATTCCCTTTTCTTTCCTTAGTTCATACAATGCCCCCCCCTCTATCTAATTGATACCCTTCCTCTAAAATCAGTTCAAAAGTCACCACCTTTTCAGAAAAGCTTTTTCTGTCTGCTGTGACCTCATCATTTCTAGTTCTTCATTCACTGAATTCTTATACCTGTGCTCATGTTGAACACCTGGAGGACATGGATATATTTTACTTATTTTGGGATTCTAGAGCTTAATATACAGTAGGTGGTCAATAATGATCTTTTTAATTAATTGTCTGTAGCACTGGCTCATTTAAGGAAGACTTAATGAGTTCCTCAGCTATGTTGGCTCAATGAAAGGAGAAAAGTCAGTAATACAAGGTCCCTTAAAGAAGGTCTGTAGTTCAGATGCCTCATTATAGCAAAGAAAAWACTAAGGCTCAGAGAGGTTGTAATATGTAATAAGGTGCAAGTGGCCAAGCCAAGTTTGAGTCTCAAGGTCTAACTCCTGAGTTCTTATTCTTGCCTCCTCTGCTAAACTCCAGGCTGGGGAGTCAGCTCCCTGTCAGCCACACATTTGTGTAGTGCCCACAGGCCTGGAAATGCATCAGTGCTGCAGTGGCTTTGTTGACAAGTGGTGATTTAAAAGACTCTGGTAAATTCCTGTGCCATGCACAGAGTACTTTTTCCCTCTTGGGCAGTGGGGTTAGTGAAAGAAACCTGATAAAATCCTGTAGGGGAACTTGATCRTTCTCTGAAGGACTTGCAAATTGTTTGGCCTGCCTAATCTGCTCAGATACCGTCCAGGGACTATTCAGTATCCATGTAGTACAGGCTGTGAATTATTCTGTGGGGATTGTTAACAAGACCCTTACCAACCCTGCCTCTGCTGGTCTCAGGAAAGGCCTTTCCTGCTCTTCCACTGAAGTTCTGGAAAGAGCAGAATTTTTTCCCTTGGGGGATGGAGGAATGGGAGTTTGAGAGGCACTAGGGGAAATTCTCCTGCTTTCAAGTTGAGCTCACAATGCAGAGCTGGCTCTATTCCCTCCTCACAGTTGTGACTGTGGATACAAAGACTTAACTAGGATATTGTTTATCCCATGTTTTGGCAACCTGGCACCTGAGTGCCTAACATGGGAAGAGATTGATTCCCTAAAATCAGTGCAAGGAAAATTATGAAAAGGGAGATTTAGAGAGACTTCAGGAAATCAACTATCTTCTGGTTTTAATCTACAGCRCAATACTATCACTAGTCAAGGTCACACAGATGCTCGTGACTAAGTAACAAACAAATACCAAGTTGTCTGAGTCTAAACTCAACATTTTTTCCCCTGAAACTCCTGCCCATCACCTACACACCAACACATGCCCTACCCTTTCTGGAAGCACCATACAATTGCACACTCAAAATTAAGCCAGTTGGGTCCTGTCTCCCTATTGTATTTGTCCCTCCCTGATGTTCTGACTAGTAGATCAGAGTACTTTTTCCCTCTTGGGCAGTGGGGTTAGTGAAAGAAACCTGATAAAATCCTGGAGGGGAACTTGATCATTCTCTGAAGGACTTACAAATTGTTTGGCCACCCCTGAGGGGGTCGGGGGATACTGCGCATTGTGGTTGTGATACACCCTACCTTTCCAACCTGCACAAGCAAGAAATTCTCACGAGTGATCCCAGACCTTTCTGTCAGCTCTCCCTTTGCTTCAGTTGAGTTTCCAGAAAGTTAGCGCCCTGAGTGAGCCTGAAAGGCTGCGAGCTGCCAAGAAGACAGCTGGGTGCTCAGAGCTCATCTACTAGGACGAATCCCTGTGCCTTAAGTGGCCTTAAGTGCCAGGGTCTGGCGACCCAGTGGGTCCACGCGCACCTAACAATTGCCCCCAGGCCTCCGATGGTTCAGATCGGGTTGACTGAGGACCCTAAAGGGCAAGGTTGGCCCAGGGAGGAAGAGGTGCAGAGGGCAGAGGTTAGTGCCTTGAGCACGGCTCCACTCGAGCGAGGCCCGGCGCCCTCTCCCTAAGCGCGCAGATTTGGAAACAGGGCGGCCTCGCCTGGCCGCCGCCTCCCGGGCTCGGGTCCCCATATATAGTCATATCCACCGTCAACTGAGAGGCCGGCGGGAGGTAGCGAATGGGCGAGAGGCCCCCGCGGGAGGAACGGGGAGGGGGCACGGGGCGGAGGCAGGAGAAGGGGAAAGGGGGCAGGAGAAAAAAGCTTTTCCAAAAAAGTATTGGCTGTCTTGAGGAATGCGGTCGTCCCCTTGGGAAAGTACATATCTGGGAGCAGCAGGAGGCTCCGCGATCGCATTCAGGATCCGCCGGCTCACCGCGCTSGTGCCCGCCTCTCAGCTCCCGCCGCAGCCCAAGGGCCCCTCGCCACCGCCACCATGGACGCCATCAAGAAGAAGATGCAGATGCTGAAGCTCGACAAGGAGAACGCCTTGGATCGAGCAGAGCAGGCAGAGGCCGACAAGAAGGCGGCAGAAGACAGGAGCAAACAGGTCTGCGCCTCCCCGGACCGCGTCCGCTAGTCCTCCGCGCTGCGCTTGCCCGCATGACCCCGGGCCGGGGGATCAGAGCCTAGGATCCCTTCCTGTCCCCACCCCGAGGATTCTATCCCCATTCCACCCCAAGCCAAGGCCGCCGGGGCAAGCGTCTGGAAAAGACGGAGGGATAGCGCAAGACTGAGGCTTGTTCTAACTTTTCAGTCTCGCTGGAGTGGGCTTATTTCCCTTCTTGGTTCCCATAGCTATCCGAGTCTATCCGAGTGTATCCCAGTCCTAAAGGCACTTAATTCTCTAGGCTGGGAATCAATATTGTTAAGATCGGAGGGCGGGGTGGGGGCGTCTTTTGAAGACGTTTGAAGAAAGAGCAGGAGAGAGGGAGCTTCAAATTCCTGAAAGTGCTTGCAGTCCTTTGGACTTTTGACTGGGGAGAAAGAAACCTCAAATTGGGATGGAGACTTTAGGGGAGGAGAATGGAGTCACGGGGATGTTTCCTAAGAACAAAGATGGGACAGAAGGTAGGATGCGGCCGGAAAGTCAGGCAAACAGGATCATTTTTCTGCGCCCCCAAGTTGTGGACTCCAGCCGGCTGGGACCTCGGCTGGAGGCTTGTCCAGGGCGCGCGGAGTGGGGGTGGGGGGGTGTTGAGACACCAGAGAATGGCTACAGCTTCTGGCGACAGGAGGTTACCTAGGGTCCCTTGAGCCCCAACTTGGTGGCGCCCCAAGCCCCGGGATTCCCCAGCCAATGTGGCGCCCATGTGTTGTGTGTATGTCTAACACCCGGTCCGTGCCGGTCGCCCGCGCCCGCCCGCCGCTGCCCCCTAGCTTGAGGAGGACATCGCGGCGAAGGAGAAGCTGCTGCGGGTGTCGGAGGACGAGCGGGACCGGGTGCTGGAGGAGCTGCACAAGGCGGAGGACAGCCTCCTGGCAGCCGACGAGGCCGCCGCCAAGGTACCTGGGGCGCGCGGCGCGGTGCGGCACGAATGGCTAACTCTTTCTTTCTCTTTTTCTCTCCCTCCCTGTCTTTCCCTCTTTCTCTCCCTCTGTCCCTGTCTGAATATCTGTGCACCCACACCCCCCCGCCTTGCGGGATCACGCTGCCTGCTGCACCCTCCCCCACCCCCCACCCCCACCCCAACCCCATACCGCGCCACCGCCAACTCCCAGCTGGAAGATGAGCTGGTGTCGCTGCAAAAGAAACTCAAGGGCACTGAAGATGAACTGGACAAATACTCTGAGGCTCTCAAAGATGCCCAGGAGAAACTGGAGCTGGCGGAGAAAAAGGCCACTGATGTAAGTGCACGCTCACRCTGCTTCCCTCACCTCCTGCCGCATAGCCACTCTGGAGTCACCACAGGGGCTAAAAAGTAATGGAGGAAGGTAACCTCCTGCTGGATGCCAGTACACAGCCCTACTATAGCCCAGAGCACTGGATGCTACCTCTGACTGCTACTGCACACRTTCATTTATATTTCATCCGTTCCTCTCTTTTTCTCCTCTTCTTTACCCCTCGGGTTGGATGTGGGTGGGTGAGAAGCTGGGAGAGCAGAGCCGCTGGATTGGACTCTGAAGGTGAAACTTCACTACTAGTGGCAGAAAACCCAAGGTGGGTGTCATCATCAGGTTCAATTTTCTTCTATTTCTTTCCTTTTGCCATCCCCAGTGTGTGGGACAATCTAATCTGTCTTTTCATGGTGGTCCCAGTCAGAGTACAGAGAGGCTGGCCTCCAAACATAGTAATACTTTGGGCTGAGCTTGATGGTGGGGCACAGGGACACTCTGAGGCTTCCTTTCTCAGTAGCAAAGTCTTAACCCTGCCTTTAAGATCTGCCTGGGAAGATGATACTTGCTTGGGTAGGCAGTCTGAGGCCACTGGAGCCAGAAAATAAGTGGGAAGTTATATATAGCTCAGTGCTTTATATGGTATAGTGAGCTAGCTGCCCCCTGCCCCTCCTGCTTGCCCCACCCCCACCTGTCAGCCCTTTGACAACCACTGCATACTTTCAGGGGTGATACACACTAGCTAAATCTCACTAGCACTTTGTCCATTGCCCTTTGGAATCTTAATTGTAGAACTTGCCTATTCTGCCTCCAAAAGTCAAGAGAAGGATTAGATTTCCAAAGAACCGACTTCTTTTCACACTGTTGAATTCTATTCTAGAAGCCAATTAAGCCTAGTGGCCCAATTAGAAAAGAATTCCTTGGGAAGTTGGTAACTATTCCAAGAATGCATGAGCACCAGGGAAAGCTATGCCCAGAAGTTAACCTCCAAGTACAATAGCAGAATTTTTTGTATGGGAGTAAAATGTGCATTACTGAAGGGTCTCACGTCTTGAAATCTCCACAGGCTTTTGTAGCATAAAAAGTTTGCAATACATATGTGTTCTATAAATGAGAAATCCAGATGTACAACACTTAGAATCTAACAAAAAGAAATTTTCGGTGAATATCAAGATTCCTAGGTAGGGGGTTTAGGAAAGCATTGACATTTAAGCTAAAACATTTAAGTTAGAAACTACCTGGCTTGGAAAAAGAGTCACAAACAAACAAAAACAACCCACATGTAACTTTAAGCCTGTTTTTAAGGATCAAATGTCTGCTCTGTATATGGCTAAATGGAGGATGCCTGTCTCCCCCAAATTCTCCAACAGGACATTTCTTTAACTTTTTCAAAAGAGCCGCTGATAGATCAAGAAAGAGATATTCCTTATAAGGAAAAGAATGCAAAGAATTTGAAAATAGCCCAGTAAGACTGAAAGCAAGAGAAGGAGAAAAATGCTACTACAATTCTTAAGGGGAAAAAAAAAAAGATAATAATTATTGTAACTATGTAGTGCTATCATGTCTTTATTGAAAAGTCTTGTTTAGAGGGGCTTGGAATAAGGTGGGGCAGAAATGGAAAGAGACTACTCTAAACTCAGCTGTAGGGGCAGGATCAGCAGGGGAGAAGGTTATTTAATCCTGTTTTGGTTCTTTATCCTTCAGAAAACCCTAAATATGGTGTGTGTGTGTGTGTGTGTGTGTGTGTGTGTGTGTGTGTCTGTCTGTCTGTTTGTCTGTCTCCTTTTGGTGAATGTATTGATCGTCTTTCCCTTTAAGACATTTTAGGTTGTTTGGAGACTGTAGGGATGTTGAAGAAGTTTGTGAAGAAATGCTATATTTAGAATAATTCCTGAACTAGTAAAAATAGTTAAAACTTGAGGAGAAAGAGAGAATGTCACTAGAGAAAAAGAGAGCTGGGAGAGAAATCAGTGTCCTAAGGAAGTGGGATTAGAAAATTTCACTGTCATTACTTCCCCACATAAAAACAATTTTTATATTTTTTGATTACTATTAATAAAAATGTTTTTACAATTTACCAACATGCTTTACAAATTCAACTCCAGAAGTGGGTTTTTCCTAGATTATAAGGGTCTCATTCAGGAGGTAGCACCTCTGATGATGATTTTGTTTTGAATTTTTGATTGGCTAAGTGAGCCTAAGGGAGTGTCAGGGCTCCATTGTCTCTGGCCCAGCTTTTTCCCCAATAATTGTGATCTGATATTTCCAGTGGGTCTTTATCCCTACTTAGGTCTTTATTGATTCTCAACCTTATTTAAGTAAAGTTTTACAACCCAGGGAAGTTGTAAAACTCAAGTCAGGTTGCACCTAGTCAAATAAGTCAGAATTGTTGGGGTTGGAACCCAGGAGGCAGAATCAGAATTTTTTTTTTTTTTTAATACCCAGGTGATTCCAACTTGTAGCCAAGGCTGAGAACAATTGTCCCAAACTCTTCTATAATGACATCAGTTTAAAATGAACTCACCTGAAACTGAATTCCTCAGGTGTTTGAAAAGCAGGCTATTAAGTCATTAGTTGGCTTAGAGCATCTGCAAGTGTCCAGCAGTTTCCCTGTCTGCCCCTGAAGGTTTTAAATGCCCTCTTTCCTCATCCCCAAAATCAGAGGCCCTCAGTCTGTGTTCTTAGAGGAGGAGCTGTAACCACTGGGCCTGWCCAGTTGAACTGTGTGGAAACAAAGCCAGAGGCTCCACCTACAGGATGAGAGGACCCAAGCTGGGGTTTGTGAGCATCTCAGTAAATACTGAGGAACTCCACAGAAAGTGTTAGGAAAGCAAAGGAAGCTCACTGTTAGGACTTTGGAGGATGAGGATGTTGACAGGCATGTTTTCTTTTTCTTACTGTCTCTTCCTATCCTCCCATCCCGGGCACTTTATTTTTTTATTTTTTTATTTTTGAGAGAGAGAGAGAGAGAGAGAGAGAGAGAGAGAGAGAGAGAGAGAGAGAGAGAGAGAGAGAGAGAGAGAGAGAGAGAGAGAGAGAGAGAGAGATTTTTTTAAATATTTATTTTTCAGTTTTCGGTGGACACAACATCTTTATTTTATGTGGTGCTGAGGATCGAACCCAGCGCCCCGCACATGCCAGGCGAGCGCATTACCGCTTGAGCCACATCCCCAGCCCCAACACTTTATCATTCTTAAAACTTGTCAGAAATTGACTTCAATGGCCCTGTGACAAAGGTGAAGGGAAAAAGCCAAAAATGCAGCCCAAGAGGGAAACCTACAAAAGTCAGTCCCCAAAAATTATGTTCCAGAATGGTTTTCTAGGTGGTAGACAGAGGTTCTTTCCTAGGGTTCTGTGGCCTTCTTTGGGGTGCCTTTTAAAGGCATCCTAGTCCAGCCCAGAATCCATCTAATTCCAGCAGATTTCAGACCCTGGCTGGTCTAAAACTAGGGACGGTTGAAATTAGAAGCGACTCTTGGTTTTTTTGAGATTGCATAGCTAGGTATGGGTCCCAACCTGACTCTTAAAGCAGTGCTTGCGTATTTATTAATTATAGCTATCATTCGAGTTTTTAACTACATATATGGTATTGTGAAAAGTGCTTTAATTATATCATAATTCTCATAACAACCCTATGAATACTATTACCTTTATTTTTGCAGCTGAAGACCAGACAAGTCAAGGGAAATAGGAGCCAGATTCAAATATAGGAATACTGCATTTAGAACAGGAGGGCCAAYCACACTATGCTTTATTAGTGGGTTTCGCTCAAGACTGGGGGTGAGATTGTGATTAGGAGGTTGTGTGTCTAGGGTTCTAAACATTTTCTTTAGGCCCCATTCAGGCTCAACCCTCACTCTCAGCGTCTCTTCCTTCTAGACATGGTAATCTGGATTCCATCGCCCTTAGCGGCCTGGTCCGTTACCCTAGTTACCACCTCCCCGGTGCTAGGGAGGGGCACTACCAGTCCAAGTAAAATACTTAGCGCTGTGGCCTCTCCTTCCCGCCTCCTTCTAGGTCTCAGTGGGCCGCTAGCCACAAGYCCAGTCTCTGCGGCCGCGAGCATGCGCAATGCCTCCGGCGGGCCCCAAGTTCCCGGGGTCCGCGGCGCGCACCCAGCCCCGCCCTGCTSGTTGGTGGTGCCCGCCCCCGGCGCTCGCGCACCCGCCCGCGGTTCGTCGGCGCCGCCGGGGAGGCCGTGACTTCCGGGCTGCTCCTGGGCGGCTGGGGGCGCCGCCGTCGCGCGGAGCGGCCTGGGCGGGGCGGACAGGCGCTTGGCTGCAGCAACACCCGCGGTGGCCTTAGCGCAGCAGCCGGCCTCTCCACCGCAACCCGCCGGCCGCCGCCGCCCTTGCGATGGCGGCGAGCAGCTCGCTGGAGGCGGTGCGTAGAAAGATCCGGAGCCTACAGGAGCAGGCGGACGCAGCGGAGGAGCGGGCGGGCAGCCTGCAGCACGAGCTGGACCTTGAAAGGAAGCTGAGGGAGACCGTAAGGCACCCACCATCACCCCGCAATCCCCTAGAGGCGCTACCTCTCCAGTCGATCCCGCAGCGCCCCCCGGGTCCCTCCGGGAGCTGGCGGACACACGCCTCCGCTGTGCACCTGGCACACCTGGGCCAGCTGGCGTCCAGCTCCGGGGAGGAGCCCTGCCCTTTCTCCTCAGCCCTTTCTATCTCGCTGATTTAAAAGCCCAGAGGGCAAGCCTAAATGGTGTTGTGAAGGTTCTGGAAGCAGCACTTTCTCAGGAAGGGGTTCCATTTCTAGGGTGGTTGTGTCCGGGTCTTTCGGGAGCCCTGGAACGTGCACTTTGCACTGCTGGCATTATTTACTCTAACAATGGGGAAGAGGGAGATCCCTCCTTTGGGGAAGGGGTTAAGTTCCTGAAGCTCTGTCAGACGTTGGGGCCTGGATGCTAAACTCTGCTGTCCCCGTCGATCCTGTAGTTTTCTGGAGGCGGTTTCTATGTGGTGGTTAAGACATTGACAGCTCTGGATTCTGATGGAAGAACCAAC